AGGAGGAGGCCCTTTCTCAGGAGCGGCCTCTTCCGAACTCTCTGAAAAGGCCCCTTTCCTCCTCCTCCTCCTCCTCCTCCTCCTCCTCCTCCTGAGGAGGAGGAGGAGGAGGAGGAGGAGGAGGAGGAGGAGGAGGAGGAGGAGGAAGAGGAGGCCCTGTCTGAGGAGCGGCCTCTTCCGAGCTCTCTGAGGAGGCCCTTGTCCCCCTCCGACCTTCCCCCTGGGGGCTCGCCGCCGAGTCTCGCGCTCACAGGGTGCGCGGTGGCGCCCGCAGGTCGTGGCGGTTGCCGCGCGCCCTGCACGCTGCGTGCCATGAGCTGCGCGTCGTCGTCGTCGTCGTCGTCGTCGTCGTCGTCGTCGTCGTCGTCGTCGTCGTCCGGGCCGATGTCGCCCGTCGGCCGTCGTCGTCGTCGCGCGCCGTGAGCCCCCTCCACGCGCAGGCCGCGCGCCGGGAGCCGCGAGGGCGCTGGGAGGCACGCGCGGAGGCGGGCCGGCGCCTCTCGTGGGATGCGACGATGGGGGCGCAGGCAGGGCAACGCCTGACCGTGGGGTTGATCGACTTCCCGAGGGTGCCCCGGCATCCCTGCCTCTGCGGCCATCCTCGGTCCGTTTTCAGCCACTGTCGACGGCCGGCCCCGCTCGAGGAGCCTCGGCATGGGTGTCCCAGGCCCCGCTCGAAGAGCCCCGCTCGAAGAGCCTCGGCATCCTCATCGTGCGTCCTTACCATCGCTTTTGACTGCGCAGTCCATCGGCCACGCGCAGCGGGGGGTCAGGGGGAGGGGGGAGTGGCTTCTCCGGAGGCTGCTTCGCAGAAGGCGCGGGCTTGGTCTAGAGCTGGAGGACCGGCGCCGTTACGAAGCAGCCTCCTTCTGAGAAGCCTTCCTCCTCCCCCCTACTCCTTTGCGCGCGCCGCCAAGTCAAGACGCCGAATTGGGGACCACTTTTGGTCAAGGAGTGGCTGGGCTACATGGAAGCTGGCAAAAGTGACCGGGGCCAGCCCTTCCACTCTTTGCAGCCCTAGCCAGTTTCCTTATATTTTTCCAGCCCTGGCGACCGCATCCCTACTGTTGCCAGTGTTTCCAGCCCTGGCCACTTCCACTTTCACTGACTTTTCAAATTCCACTTTCTCCAGCTTCCTTGTATGATCTTGGGCCGTTTCTTAGATCCAGGTCGGATGACCGGGTTGTGGCCGAGGCTCGCCTCGGCGAGGAAGGCCCCGTCGTTCCTGATTCAGCGTTCCCGATGGTGGCACGATGGCTGTAGCCGAATCGCCCAGGGGGCAGCGCTACGGCGGAGACCCGTTCCAAGTAGCACGCTGCTTGCCTCCAGGGTGCCCTGGGTGTCTTGTGTTTCGATGGTCTTGCTATGGAAAGCGTGACGCTGCCATGCCAAGAATCAATGAACGTCCTGGGGTCTTAGGGTTTGATTTCTTGTGGAAGGTTTCTTGTGGACTGGCCTCCACCGTGCGTGTAGCCCAGGGCGCCGCTGGTCCTTGTCTTCGGCGAGGTTCCTTGGCGAGTGCGTGTTGTGCCCGCCCCAGGGTGATCCGCTCCTCTCGTCGGCTGCGATGTCTTGCTGCCTCTCTCTTTCAGGGCTTGTTTCTTCGATGTGGCCTGGGTGCCTTTCCCCTCTCCCCGTTCGGCCTCGCCTGTCCGCCGCCCGCTCCCCTCTCTTATTCCCCATATCCTAAGGATTGGGGTTCTTGTTATTACTCTGACGCCTCCCACTGCTCCTCCTTCCTCCTTCCTCCCGCTCGCGCCTCCCTCCTCCCAATGATAATCACCAGATAAGACAAGACAAGATAAGCTACTACAAGATACGATAAGATATCACAATATATGATAAGGTAAGATAAGATATATGACAAGGTAGGATAATAGATAAGATAAGACAGCCTATGGAGTAATAAGATAAGACAATATATGATGCGATAAGATGAGTTGATATAAGATAAGCTAAGACAAGATAAGAGATTTCAAGATAAGATAAGATATAGGGTAATAAAGGTAAGATAAGATAGGACTCGATAAGATAAGATGAGACTCACTCTCACTCAGACTCACTCACAGTCACATTCACTCACACTCACACTCTCTCATGATCACAAAACGCGGCCAGGGGCATCACTTGGGAGCCCCAAGGGGGAGCCACCCTGGCTGATCTCACGAGCCCGTTCGCGCCGATTTTGGTGGGACGCCTCAGCTAGAATTGCCGTTTGGCCTCCCCAACATGTATCTCTTGAGAGCCTCATGTCACAAAACGCTGCCAGGGGCATCACTTGGGAGCCCCAAGGGGAGCCACGCCTGGCTGTCTCACGGAGTCGGGTGCAGGACTGAACGCGGGGAAAAGGTTGAAGGGGAGAGGGCCGTTCGCGCCGATTTTGGTGGGACGTCTCAGCTAGAATTGCCGTTTGGCGCCCCGAACATGTATCTCTTGAGAGCCTCATGGTCGCAAAACGCTGCCAGGGTCATCACTTGGGAGCCCCAAGGGGGAGCCACCCTGGCTGATCTCACGAGCCCGTTCGCGCCGATTTTGGTGGGACGTCTCAGCTAAAATTGCCGCTTGGCCTCCCCAACGTGTCTCTCTTGAGAGCCTCATGGTCACAAAACGCTGCCAGGGGCATCATTTGGGAGCCCCAAGGGGGAGCCACCCTGGCTGATCTCACGAGCCCGTTCGCGCCGATTTTGGTGGGACGCCTCAGCTAGAATTGCCGTTTGGCGTCCCCAACATGTATCTCTTGAGAGCCTCATGGTCACAAAACGCTGCCAGGGGCATCACTTTGGGGCCCCAGGGGGGGTCCACCAGGGGCTTCATAGTCACCAAACGCTGCCAGGGGCAGCATTTTGGCTTCCCAAAGAGGAGTCGACCCGGGCCTCCTAGTCGCCAGACACTGCCAGGGGCACCATTGGGATTCAGACTCGCACCCAGACTCACTCATACACAAGCTCACTCACACTCAGATTCTTTTCTTCAGAGTCAGGCACACACAGACGTACCCATACTCAGACTCACCCACACTCAGGCTCACCTAACCCAGACTCCGTCAGAAGCCAGTAGCGAAGAGAGCAGAGAGGAGAGAGAGAGAGAGAGAGAGAGAGAGAGAAAGAGAGAGAGAAAGAGAGAGAGCGGGAGAGAGCGAGAGAGAGAGAGAGAGAAGAGAGAGAGAGAGAGAGAGAGAGAGAGAGAGCGCGCGAGCGCGAGCGCGAGCGCGAGCGCGAGCGCGAGCGCGAGCGCGAGCGAGAGAGAAAGAGAACGAGAGAGAGAGAGAGAGAGAGAGAGAGAGAGCGAGCGAGCGAGCGAGCGAGAGAGAGAGAGAGAGAGAGAGCGAGGAAGAGAGAGAGAGAGAGAGGAAGATAGAGAGAGAGAGAGAGAAGGAGAGAAAGAGAGAGAGAGAGAGAGCAAGAGAGAGAGAGAGAGAGAGACCGGACAAGTAGGCGGACCAGGGTCCGTCCGCGAGGCGCACTGCGGTGCGACAACCCGCAAAACACTATTAGCGGCGGTGCAGCCTTAAGATACGAGGGCGGGCAACATACCCCCTCCCCCGGCGCATTGCGTCTGAAGCTACGGACGGCGGACAGACTGTGAAGATCTCACGTGTCAGACCGCGTGAAGAAAGAGGGCCCCAACGCAAGTGGCGACGTGAAAAACGTGGCTAAGGCGGCTTGGCGGACCGCCGGTTGGGCGCTTGGCCGCTGCGCGGCGCGCAGAGACGGGGCACCCCCCGCCCCCGCGCCCAGGCCCCGTGGACGCGGTGCCTCGCGGGCGCACGGGCTGGCGAAAAGAGAAAAGGTGCACCAGCTGGGAGCCGTATGGCCCAGCACAGTGCGCAAGTGACAGAGTCCGCGGCCAGGCGGCGGACGGCAGAGGGGCGCCAGACGCGCCGAGGAAAAGGTGCACCAGCTGGGAGCCGTATGGCCCAGCACTGTGCGCACAGGCCGAGAACCCCAACAGGAGCGGCAAAAGCTAGCCGACAGCACAGCGGCACCAGCCGCTGCCAGCTAACCTTTAGCCCACATTGGCGGACCTCGAGAGAGACAGAGTCCGCGGCCAGGCGGCGGACGGCAGAGGGGCGCCAGACGCGCTGAGGAAAAGGTGCACATGCTGGGAGCCGAATGGCCCAGCATGCGCACAGGCGGAGACAGTGCAAGGGTGCAGAGGAGGCCCTCACAGCGGATGCACCCGCAACCCTTAAGGGAAAGACCAGTACCCCCTTAAATTCCCGATCGCATCACTGAATGCTGCTGCTCCCAATCACTTCACCAGGAGCTGTGGCGGAAAACACTAATGTGATACAAGTCGACACGAAAATGCAATGCCGCGGGACCCTGCGAAAAACGACCCCTTTTGGCAGAAATGGGTCGTTTTCTCCGGCGGCACACATTCGTGAGGCGTGATGTCTTTTTCACACGGGTGCTTGGGGCGGGGCTGCAGCCGCCACCCCCGCCAGCAGGCACGGCACACCAGGGAACAGCGCCCGGGTGAGCAAGGCAGGACGCGCACATGCGGCGAGGGCGAGGCCGTACCACGCAGGTCAGGATGAGGGCAAAGTGAATGAGGAACCCCAGCGTTCTTCAAAAGCGTCGGACCACGTAAGAAACTGAAGAAGGAAAACAGTATCAGTGCGCAGACGCTTGAGAGTGGCGCGGTGAATGAGGCCTGCTGTGCGGCCGTGCGGGAGGCCGAGGGCCGCGTCCACGCAGGTTAGGAGAATGTTCGAACTGCGGGCCAGAGTCGGGCGGGGGCCAGGAGCTCTCAGACTCCATAGGCGGAGCTCGATGCATCGGTGGGCAGTCGGCTGCGCGTCGGCCTTTCTCGGTCCGTCGTACTGTGGTCCAGCTTCGCGGAACCAGTGGGTGTGTCTAGCGGGGCGGCGGTCGGGGACCGCCACAAGAGGCGGCAGGTGCGCGGCCAACACCCATGACAAGAGGATCCGCTTGGCCCGGCGGAGCGCAGGAGCCGGAGCATCCTGGTAGGGTGGCTCCTCCTGGCCTGCGCGGCGTCCCCGCCGCCCCCCTCGGCGGCTGCTGCGGCCTTGCGTTTGGCCCTCAGCCTCCTCAGCCTCCTCCTGTCAGAGCGCTCCTCAGCCTCCAGTCGTTGGAGCAGGTCCTGCTCCTTCAGGTGCGACAGAATCTCCGCGAACTCTCGCAGCGTGTCCGCACCCTGGAAATTTCGGCCGCTAGGGTCGGCGTCCTGCCTCCCAGCGGCGACGCTGCTGCTCACGGGCTTTGCCGCAGAGGGGCCGGCCGTAGGGGGGCCGTAGCTGGGGCCGTCGGCTGTGTGCCCGATCGGGTCCCAAAAGCCCACGGGCGCTTGCACCCCGAGGTCGTGGTGGAGGTCGTGGTCGTCGGCGCCGTCGTCGCGTGAGTCTCGGAGTCCGACTTCACAGTCAGCTGTGCGTTCAGTCTGGGCGCGGCTGCCTGGTGGGACGGTCAGCGCAGGTGGCCTGCAGGGTACTGCTGCCGTGACGTCAGGGCGCTGTGCTGCT